TATATATATATATATATATATATATATTGCAAGGCATGAATTTGCAATCAATTAAATTTTGTCAAAATAAATTTAATTAATGTTTATAAAAATTAAAATAAGTTAAAAAAATTTGAACCACAAGTATGTAATAAAAGTATAAACTCTAATTTTATATTATTATTTAAACGTATTATCATAAAATAAGAAAAATTGATATATTATTATTACAATAATGGTGAAAAAAATATATCATTAATATTATTATAATATCAGTTATAATATTATTAATAGTATTTTATCATTAATAATATTAAAATAATAAATCATTTATGAATTAAAATATGTGAACATATTATATTTTGAAATTCGAGAAAAATAGATAAATGTGTATCAATAATAAATAAATATCGTATTTCAAAATTTAATAAGTTTTTTAATTGAATTTTAAAATCTGATGATTTTTTTAAAATAAATTTTGAAATTCGATGAATTTCTCAATTAAATTTAAATATTTAGTGAGTTCATTAACCGAATTTCAAAAATTAATTTCGATGAGTTTCTTATTCCAATTTGAAATTTGATTAGTTTTTTAACTAAATTTTAGAATTTAGTTAGTTTTTTAATTGAATTTCAAAATTCTCTTAAAATAAATTTCAAAATTTGACGAACTCTTAAATCGAATTTCGAAATAGGTTGGTGTGATAAACCAAATTTTGATAATTTTTAAATCAAATTTCAAAATCTAATAAGTTTTTAAATCAAATTTCAAAATTGGATACAAAAACTAGTACAAAACACCATAAACAAAAAATACCGCTACTTAGAGCTACCACTACTCTCTACTATGATGCTGTAGCCACCACTGCTTCGAAATTTAGATATGTTGTCAACGATTGTTCTCCTGCTTCTTCTTCTATTTCTGATTATCTTTGTGTTGTTATGATAAATTTGTGTATTGGATAAAGCTAAAAAATGATGATGGTGTGTTAAAAAATGTGTCTTGAATCTAGAAGTGAAATTAAATAAGTAATGAAAATTGTATATAGAGATAAATCTTCGTCATACTAAATATCAAAACGATCCTAATTCGTTTCTTACCCGAAGTCCATTCAACCATATGATGGCTTAGCCATGATAGCTACAGGAAAGATTCTTGAGATGCTTGAGCAATCAGTTTGAAGTAATACAGTTGCTGCTTGAGAAGAAATTAACTTATGAAAGTTTCATGGAACATAGAAGGCATGCTAATCATGAAAACGTTTGTCGCTGACTTTCATTAGTTTGTCGAGTCATTAAACAACCCATCTTCTGCATAGAAAGTACCTCGCAAAAGGGCAATCCATAAAAGATTGTGTGAGATACGTAATGTAGCATTGAGCATTTTCAATCCACCATTGTTACTTGGAAAATGAAAACAGAGAAACGGGAGAAAAAAGAACGGTACATAGAAGGTGAGACTTATAAATAAATGTTTGATTTGCTTCTGAAAAACGAAGATTTCTTCATTTTCTGTTAGAATTTGAAAATTAATCATGGATACTTCTTTTAATCATTACATGGAATACAAAGTATGATCGGTAGATTGTGCAGATTTTGTTTTTTCTTTTAATTGTTGTTTATTTATTTGTTTTCTTTTAAATTCAGTGACGTTGTTATCATATTACTTTATGTTGTTTGTTTGTCTCTCCACCTTGAAGTAATGACCGAAATAGTTTCTTATAGTGATGCTAAAAGTGTCTCTTTATTCAATTATTATCATAATTTTTTTTTTTTTGAGTTTGTTTCACAAATAGAGAGTAAAAATTAACAGAGGGTCGTGGAGATGGATTGAGCCAAAGGGCGAAGTGGAAGGAAGAAGAGGTTGATGAGTGTAGAAAAGACAAATCTGATATTCAAAACATAATGATTGTTAACATTGCAGAGTTAACCGAGTCTGTTTCCGAAAAAGAAAAAGGAAACAACAGTCATTATTGACAGTTTGCCAAGACAAAGAAACTGTCATAACTTCCCCAAATCAAACCATAAACTATATCATAACTAATACATTACATTACATCAAATGAAATCAACACTAATTTAAATAAATATAAATAAAACACTAATTTAAATAAATATGAATAAACAAGATTAGCCTAAATTGATACTAACTTATTTGTTTTAGTTAATATAATCCTAACACGAATACTTATTTAATAAAAAAAATTTAAATATTCCTTCTTTTAATTTTTTTGTTTTATAAAGTTAACTTAACATTAATCTAACATTAATACAAATATTTATTTATTAAAAAAGTTAAAAATAATGTTATACTTTTAATATTTTTAAAAGAAAATAATTTTTGTGTTTGTTGTATTAAAGTCTATATAATTAATAATGTTGCAATTTGTCTGCTAATATATGAAAATAAAGTTATATTTTATTGTAATGATATTTTTGGGTACGTTTTCATCTTAAGTGGTAAGAGAAACAAAGAGAGAAAGAATGTGAGATATAAAAGTAAGTATGGTAAAAAAAAGATAGAGACAAAAATGAAATAGAGAAGTTGTTTAAAATTCTCTAAAATGGATATATTACAAAATATAAAAGCATATTATTGTATGTTTTTCAAGGATGTAAACTAAATTATCGTCCATGAAATAGACTAATTGAATGAAAAAGAGTTATATTTTTTAGATTAAAAATTACCAACTTAGTCTAATTTGACACCCAATGAACCCATTGAAATACAAGGTAAGAGAAATTGTAATCAACTATAGTTATATAAACTCTAAAACAAGATTGGATTAACATATATGATTCAGCTTCGATTGAAAAGTTGTGTTTAGAATGAGGCGACAATCTGAAAATGTGGATCATCCGGGGTCATAAAAGTTGAAAGAGAAGGGAAAAAGGACACGTGTCACTGAATTTGGAATGGAAGAAAGTGAGTGGTTGATTAGAATTATTAAAAAAATGGAATATAGTATCTTAGAGAAGAGTTATGATTAGGTGTTGATAAAATAAAGAAAAAGTTGATGTTCCACTGAACCAAGCCCAATATGGAAAGATGATGACACTGTGACAGATTGGCCTAAGCCAATGTCTCCACTACGCACAGACACACCAAAGATTCCCAATCTGTTACTCATAACTGTCATTCTCAATTCCAATTTTCATCTTCTCTCTTCCTTTTTATACCCATAATTCATAAACAAACCCTTCCAATTAGGTTTCACATATTACTTTATAAAGGGAACTTTGTATTTTACTTATATATTTATATTATCTTCCTCTTCCCCATCACGTATCAATCAACACAAAATCTTCTATCCACCTTTCCTTCTCAACACAATTCAAAATCTCTTTTCAAATCTTTTAATATTGTCTCTCAAGAAATAATATTCCAGTAAATGATATCTTCAACTTTTTTTCAATAACAAATTCTGCATTAATTACTTCAGTGATTGCAAGAGGGAGAATTTGGACAAAACCAGAGATTGCATTCCGAGATTGACGAAACTATGATGTCTGGGGACAAACAAGTATGGACATTTGGAGAAGATGCACTGTTCTTACCAGAAGTAAATTAATAGTTTTAAATACAACAAACAAAACTAGTTAAATAGAACCTGTCCTTGTCAAGAGATGAACGTGACAGCAGTAAGAGGGTGAGACATTTATGGAACCACATTAACTTCAGCGCCTATGATTCTTATCAACAAAAACAACCCTTTCATGTGACATTTCAGTAGCTTCTAAAAAAAAAAACTAGATCTCTCTTCACCCTCAGCTCAAATAATAACTCCAAAAAATAATTATTCAAACATGAATAAACAAAAAGCTATCACATTTTGAATTTTCTACTCGATTCTAAGTTTCTCGAGGGATCAAAATTAAGACGATTAACTCTGACCCATGATCAGAAATATGGAAAGTAGACAAAAAAAAAAAAAGAAAAAAAACTACCTTAATTAATCTCAGTGAGTGTCATCGGTGGTGCTGTATGGATTGTTATTAAGAGTATCAGAAGCATTGACATTGATCTTTTCATCAGGCTCCAACGATCTCTTCCTGCTACTGTTCTTATTGTTGTGCATCCACACCCTGAAGACCCCTCTTGAAACGCCAATCTCATTGCAGAAATCTTGCACCAACCCTTCATCCCCTTTCTGCATTCTCCACCCCAAATTCTCAGAGAAATTCTGCATCTTCTCCTTCTGCTCTTGGCTGAACTTGGTCCTGAACCTCTTCTTTCCACTGGGGCTCTCGGAAAGATTGAAACTCGTAAGGTGATGCTCGTTTCCCTGGCCGAAGAGCCCCTGGACCGGTCTCGAACCTGGGAAACGGTGGGAGAGAGGCGGCGGGCTTGGGCTTGACAACGGACTTGGGCTTGGACTCGGGCCTGGGCTTGAGCTAGTACACAGGCCGGGGCCATGATGGGGTGGCGGCGGTGAGTGGTAGAAGCTTATGAAATTGGGCCTGGGGTTGGAATGATTATTTTGATACTGATGTGTGTCACGGCGGTGGAAGTTACGGTGGCATCCACAGGCGGCGCACGTTAGCGAGCGGGGTTCTGTGGGATTGGAGGAAGAGGAGGGCATGAACTCACCGCATCCATCAAGCGCGTGGCCACCTATACTGGCAGCGTGGTTTTTGAGACACTCCTTGTAGGAAACCACCGCGGGCGGTGGTTGTGAGGGAGGAGGAACGGTGGTGGGGCGGTGGCGCTTGAGGGATCCGTTGGTGGTGGTGGTGGTGGTGAGCTGTTGGGGGGTTTGAGTTTGAGAATTTGTGTCGTTGGCGTCGTTGGTGAGGTCCATGTATGTGAGTTTGTGAAAAGTGGGAGTGATTGATATAAAAGGGAAAAGACAGAGAAACAGGGGTTATTAGAGTTTTGACATGATTAAAGTGTTGTTTGAAGAGTTGAATTGTGTCATTAGAAAGGGAAAAAAAAGGGAAAGGAATCTAAAGCTAAGAGTTTGGAAGGGGGTGGATGGCGGTGGAAGTGATGATGATGATGATTTGTAATGTGAAGTGATGACAAAATCTTAGGTTTAAATGGGGAATGAGATGCAGAAAGCGAATCCAAAGGGTCCAAAAATCTCTAACAATGATTTGAGATAAGAAGGCAAAGGAGAAGTGAAGTTAAGACACGATGTGTTTGTAAAATTATGGTGGTAATTAAGGTTTAGTTTCGATTTTACTTTTGAAAGTTGACATGAGTTTGTTGGGGGCAATAAATTTGTTTGATTCGTGTTGAAGGGACAGTGAGTGTTGGAGGGTACGTGGCGGCCTTTGGGAAGTGCTGCGTAGCTGTGAGACATCTGCAAATAAATACCAAATGCAATACTTTCCGACAAATATTCATTTCATTCTTCGTGTTCCTATCTCCACCCAAAAATCTTCTCTTCATTTGCTTCAACCCTAACACTAATTTACATTCATCCAAGGATTCAAACCTCTTACGTGATGTAAATGAAAAAGTTAACTACATTTTATGGTAAACGATGTGGATAAAGCGGTCAATGTGAGTTACTTTGTGGAGCAAGGGTCAAGCGTCAACGGTGGAATAATCAGACCAAAAACACTGTTACTATTAGTTAATTAGACTCTCTTATTGTTAGTTTTGGTTTTCCTTTGACTTTATATTGTAAACTATGTATTGCTAATTTCGTAGGTTAATTATAATTATCACCCTTTTTAATATTACATGTAACACATCTAATAATATAACTAATTTTTTTATAATTCAGACTAAGTTGTTGAAAACATAGATTGGATATATTTTGTAAGAATAATTTATTTAAAATGGAGCACTAATTAATAAGAATATTTTGGGTTCTTTAACGATATTAACGTGACTTGAAAGGTCTCCCTACCACTAACCCATTTGCAGAGAGAAAAATCAAAAGTTAAGTCTTGAGTTCTTTAATGCGCGGTTGTACATTTGTGGTGATTATTAAGAATGGAAGTTCAAATCGAACAGTTCTTGTTTCCTTCATGTGACGGGGATTAGTGATAGCATAACAATGATCACTTATTCAAATTAAACTTTGACTAAGGAAATGTGTGGTTAGCTACCTAGGTCCTCCTTAATCCACGAAACCATTCAAATAATTAATTATCTCACCCTTAGAAAATCTCATGAATAGTTTATGTATACGCACATGACTTTGGTTTCATCAGATATAATGAATAAATCCGTCTTTGGTTACATTATTTGAATAAATTTTATTTTTTAATGTATAATTTTATGTTGGTTAAATATAATGGATATATGAATAATATTTGATTTTTTAAATTAAATATAAGGATGTTTTACACTTATCTAAATATTCATTAATACAAATGTCTTTCACATCACCTTATTTATTTAAAGTAACAATAAACATAATAATATTTTTGTAAATTAGTAAAACGGTTATATATTATAATTTATGTTGGATGTTTAATTACCTATATAAATTACTTCACTTATTTAAATCTATAAGTGATTTGACGTAAAAAAAATATATTTATATTTGCAAGCTCTTTACTTCATTTTCATAGTAGAAAAACACATTGAAATATTTTTATTGTCAATCACCCTTAAAATGACATATGGAAGGGAAGGATATATGTCTCAAATAAAAGAGTTTGAGCATTTTATAGAATTTTTCCAAAGCACAACTCATATAATTTTCTCAGAATTTATATCTCTCTAAAACTCAAGCTTCTTCTTTTCTCCTCCTTCCCTCTAAAATTTCTCATCAGTGGTTCGTCTGATCGGTGATCTGGAGCTTCCTAGGCGATCCTGTGATCAAGAGCTTCCTTTTCCACTGATCAATTTCATGGTTAGAGTGGGTAAGTTTTGTTTCTCAAATTCTCATGAATTTCTATATTTTCTAGTACATGCAAACACTGTTCTGTTTACATGTGTTCCGTATTCTTTTTCTTCCTTTTCTGATTTCATTGTGGTTCTACGGTTGGTCCTCTTTCACCAATCGGTGGTTCATAGGTGTTCTTAGGATTCTATTGCGGTTCAAACAAATTTTTTGGTTGTGTAGAAGTTGTTTGGTTCTGTTAAAGGTAAGGGAAGCTAGATAATTTAATTGATTTGGTTATGATATATGAGAATGATGGTTGTTGGGGTTGTATGTATGTGAAAATGGAACGTTTGTATGATCGGTATTGTTTTGTGAACTGTTAATTGTTGTGACCATGTTTGATTTCAGTTCTGAAAAATTATAGTTACTGTGCCGAGTGAATTGTGAGAAAGTGGAGTAGTAAAAAGGGGGAATTTGTATCAGGAGTGGTTTTGGTCTGTAAGGATAATCTAGGTAAGTTGTTTAGGGTCTATTAGAACCCTTAAGTCCTTCTAAAATGTGTAAATAGTAGGAAAACATATTTTTGGTCTTTGAGTTGTGGATTATGTAGAATTTTAAGTGAAATCTGGTATGGGACTCTTTGGATTGATGTTAGAAAGATTTAGGTACTCTTGGATAGGTGTAAATGTGTATATGATTCGTGTTTGGAAGATTAGAAGTTTGGAAAAATGTTTAGTTTTGGTAAAATTTAATGTGTTCATAATTCTGCATAAGTTTCTGCAGAATTATGCAGAAAACTGAGGGTTCGTTGTTGACCACTCGGTCATGCGCTGATTTGGCCGTTCGGCCTTGTTCTGCATCGGTCATTAATTGAATTCGGTCTCTTTGGAGTCCTCCCAGTTCAAGACCGTTCGGCCTTAATAGCGCTCGGTCTCGATAGTGTTGGTTCTATACTAGCGCTCGGTCTCGGTAGTGCTTGTTCTGTACTAGCGATCGGTCTTGGTAGTGCTTGTTCTGTACTAGCGCTCGCTCTCGGTAGTGCTTGTTCTGTACTAGTGCTCGGTCTCGGTAGTGATTGTTCTGTACTAGCGCTCGGTCTCGGTAGTGATTGTTCTGTACTAGCGCTCGGTCTTGGTAGTGCTTGTTCTGTACTAGCACTCGGTCTCGGTAGTACTTGCCTTGTACTAGCACTCGATCTTGGTAGTGCTTGGTCTTGCATTGGTACTCGGTTTGGTATTAGTGTTCGGTCTTAACTACGTTCGGCCTCTGATGGGCCTTACCTGTTAATGAGGTCTCTCTTAGTGGTCGGTCCTAAATAGTGTACGGCCACTCCTTCAGTCTTATCTGTCTCAGAGTGTTCGGTCTAAGCCGATAGTGTTCGGCATAAGATAAAAACGGGGGTTTAACTCTAGTTTTCAGTTGTTCTAGTATTCGGCCCTAAAACTGTGTTCGGCTCATGCTTGAGTCTTACTCTTAAATGAACGATCGATCATGTTAGTATATAGGTAGAGTTTCTCCCGTTCAGTCTTGCTAATAGGTTAGGTTGATCTTTTATGTTCGGTTGTGTTCAAGAATGATGGTTATTTTACTGATCAGTTTGATTATACTTAAATGTGATGGATGAGGAAGTATGTTGGTATTGAAGTATGGTATGATAATTCTAATGTAATGTGAAGATATGATGAGATACCTATAATATGGATATGCAAGAGTATTCTAGGGAGGAATATCTCAGGATTGGTTATTGAATGGTAGAGTATGAATGTGGTTATGCTTAGCTGGCGTTTATCCTGATATTATGTGATTACTCATTCTCAAGTAAAGAGGAGTAAGTCATGTGTGAGAATGGCAGGAGGTCCTAGTCCTTAAGGTGAACTTTGACGGAACTGACTAACCTCGGGTGGCAGCTGTTGAGGGCATCCCAGCTATTACATCACCCGGGTGCAAAAACGTCATAGCTACACAAAATTCATACAGTCTGGACAGTCAGAGTAAAGTGGTCGGTCATTGCATGCATTGATGTATAGTTATGGTTGGAAATGCATGATTGGTTGTTGCATGATTGACTATTGAATTATATTAGATTTATGTGAAATATATGTTTTACTGAATTAATTAGATTATATAAGCTTACCCTATTTCCTGTCTTGTCATGTTATCCGTTCGGTCGTCCTTGTCATTGCAATGATCACCCTGTGGGTGTGAGCAGAAGAAATTGAGGGTTCTCTGGAGGATGCACTGGCTGGAGAGGAAGGTTTCCGCTAAGGGTAAGACCGTTCGGCCTTGTGTTTGTTTTCCCAGTTAGTATAGGACCGTTCGGTGTAATACACTGTTTGTAGGACCGTTCGGTCTTGTGTTTGTTTTCCCAGTTAGTATAGGACCGTTCGGTGTAATACACTATTTGTAGGACCGTTCGGTCGATACACCCCTTGTATGACCGATCGGTCTGCTTTTATAATTTGTATTAGTTTAGGTTTCTTTAAAGTTTTAATTTATGGTTATTTTAGGATAACTGTAAGTTAACTTTATTTTCTGTAACTGTTCTATCTTATTATAAATGTAAGAACCCTTAAGTATAGTTTACAACTATATTTTGGGGATGTTACATTTATAACTTAGGGTTTCATTTCTGATGACTAAATGGTGGTGGTTTGGTTGTAATTTTTTTATCAAGTTTTCTTTAAGTGATGGGCATCTCATAAGAAATATACATGTCTGATTGATTTCGTGATTGAGACTATAAAGAAACTTAAAATTACCGATAAACTTTTACCGGTGGATATCGGTAAATATTCATTATTGTCGATAAATTTCGTCGGTAATGTGTATGTTACTTACCGACAAAAAAATTTGTCATTAAATTTGTTAGTAAATCCGTTAGTAATGTGTATGTCACTTATCATAGAGAGAATTGTAACACCCAAATAATTTAAAGGGTATTACTGGTAGTAGAGACTAAATTAATTTGATATCTGATATAAACAATCAAACTTTATTTCAATTCTTCCAAAGTACAATACAATACTTAACATAAATTTGAAATTAAACTTATAAGTCTTATACAACATATTTTTTCAATGCAAATTTATTCTTTTTACAAAAATCCCTGAAAGTTTTTCCCCGCATCTCTCTCATCATCTCTAAGCTTTTTCAACCGCATCTGCAACATTATCTGCTCTCATATAACATGAGTTATATGATCATTGCACAAACAAATAAGGGTAAGCCAACCATATCATACAATCATTAAACTTACTTATAATATAAATGTTTCAATCATGTATTTCTACAATTTATAAATACCATTATCCCGATGTCATTAAT